TGATCCTTGGAAACTGAAAGCTTGGAGGATTAAAAATTCAAAGCATTTGAGCTTCGAAGCACTTAAGGTAAATGTCCCGATGGCCGGATACGTTCCAGTGTCCGACTACTTAAAAAAAAATATTTACTATTTATTTCAACAATAATGAGTGAAAGTAATAATTATTCGAAAAAAACTCCAATATTTGACAATTAATTGGAAAAAATATACTCAATTTGATACTTTTGTATTAAAATAAAAATTAATTAAATAAGTATGCATCTGTCGTTTGACAAAATAATAGTCAATAATAAATTCAATAATAAATTAATAAGTTCAGTTAATAAATTTAAGAGATAGCATCTATATTTATATTATTTCCCGTTAGCACATACTAATTTTCTAATTGCGGTCAGACACTGGGACAAATTATATCCGAATATTGGGCCATAATCTATTTCAACTGTCACTGGTATATTAATGCGCTTCATTACTTATGTAAATATTTCATTAATAATAGATATATTGGTTTAAATCATTTTTCTCTACTTAAAGAAATCTTAAGATTTCAAATAAACGCAAATATTTATATCAAAACTATTCTTAATATTATATATTGTATTTCTTGTGACGACCTACGCTTAAACGTTAAAAGTTACTGAGACGTTTACTTTAAGTCATGAAAATGAAAAGCACGAATCCATATTTTCGCAAGTCAAAATTTGGATTCAAAATTTGGATTCGTTAGCTCTGCAAATTCCGTCGAATTCGAAGGGCCAATGTAGAACTTCAAGGTACAAGATTTTACAGATTATCGACCTACGATGCTGCGAATAGCTATTCACTACCGTTCTTTTTGATGTCGAATCTTGAAGAAGGACCTCTATGGTCCTAGATGCGTTGTAAGAATTTTGGGATATTCAGAAAAATAATTCTGCAATATTTGATTATCATGATATTTTATCTGCATTTAACGCGAACGCGTGTCGACATATTTTGGAAAATATACTTTTACTACTTTTAAAAGGGCGTTAAAAATATTGTTATATCTTCCGTATAGTAATAAACTAATGTAAAGAAAATAAATCTGTGTAGTAATAAACAATAAACATTCGCGTGCGAGAATTTCATCCGAAAAATTTTTTTTCGAAAAGTTTAATTTTTAATCTTAATAAGCAAAAAAGTCGTGTTACATTGATCGTGTTACCGAATTGTAAACATACTATGTGTATATATCAAATATTATGCGTAATAATAAAATATTAAATAATTTAAGAAAGAGTAAGATACGAATAATTACAAGAAACAGCGGATCTTTTAATTCTCTTTCTCCTTTCTATTTTCTCTCTTTCTCTTTTTTTAGCGTTGAAAGTCTCAATAGACTTTGGAGCTTTTAAAAGAACTGATATGAAGCTGTGAAGACAATTACAACAGTCATGTGTCCAATAATGCTGTTTTCCAATACAGATTTAACCTTGAACTTGATACAACAATAAAGATCAATAAGAAATGAAAAACTGGCAAACGTAAACAATATTTCACTCACGAAAGCATTATTGGACGTAAAAATCAGTGCTGACGAAATTTATCTTAGATTCTAAAGCCTGATAAGATATTATAAGATATTTATACTATATATACTAAGATATTTATAGTTGCGTGCAATCTTTCATTGAGAGCATAATTAATTAATTAAAGGCCGCCATTCGGCTACTTGAATCAGCATTTCTTACATGAAATCAATAAAAGTACTCGTTGACGTATAATCCACGAGATCCACGCATATGAAGCTAGGATTATTTAATAAATAATAATAAATATCGACCTAATTTTTGAGCAAATTTCAGCGTTCTCCGTCTCGGCTTCCGATCCAGGATCTTGCTCCCGGCTCCTTCGTGACGTTCCAAGTAGTTTCCAGCACTCCTGGCACTGACACTGACACTGACACTGCATTGTCACTCGCGCAGACACGATTCGCCCGGAGGAACGTGTTAATTAATGCGATGCCGACACGAGGCCGATCGAATGTTTTCAGATCTGGCGGGAATGATGGTTAGCAGGGAATGACGGAATGATGATCGAGCGCGGCTTCGCGTCGCGCGGTATGCGAGTCCTTTGTCGGCTCGAGATGTAATGAGACGCGGCCAAAGACGACACACGCGAGTATCGAAACACAAACGGGCAAAAAAAGCACGTCCCGTCAAACGACGCTTGCCGGCCGTTATTGAAAAACGTATTTATGTACATTCGGCGCGGCCGAGGTATCATGACTGTCAACACACCTGACTTTCGAAGTGATTGAACTTGGCAGGGCTGTAGCCACGTACAGCAGGCGCCCCGCGGCGAAACTCGTCGCGCGAGTGAATATTTGTGCATTCTTTTGCACTTTCGTCTCACCGAATCTTCGTTAGTATGCACAAAATACGGTAAATATGTAGAAAAGGGTAGACCTCACCGGTTTCTTTCATTTTGAAATATATTTTGAAGGATGAAATTCTGAGTGACTTGCTGATACAATTATATGGGGGTTGCTTATAGTTTCCGAGATATTTGATTTTAAAATTTTGGAATTTCGATTATCCTGGAATTAAATTCCAGATATCATAAGCTGACGTTATTTACAGTACGATCCAAACATAGTGTATACATAGAAATATAGGAAACAGTACATATAAGCGGGAGAGGGGCTCCGTCCCTCCTCCGCACCTCCTCCCCAAAAAAATCCTAACCTAACCTAACTTATTGCATCTTTATATTATATTGTTGGGCGATGTTGAAAAGATCTCCTTAAAAGCCACAACACCTAATTATATGCAGATATTATAACAAGTTAAGTTGAGCCAGGTGATAGATCTTAAGAGAACTTTTTTCAACAGTGTCCAAAAATATATAAAGATGCAATAAGTTAAGTTAAGTTAGGATTTGTTTGGGGCGGGGGTGCGGGGGAGGGGCGGAGCCCCTCTTCCGCTTGTATGTACTATCTCCTATATTTAAAGTGAATGAAAACTGCTTGTCTACTTCAAATATATTTCAACGTACAATTATAAAACTTTAAAGTCAAATATCTCAGAAATTATAAGCGACCCCCATATAACTGTATCAGGAAAAGTCACTCAGAATTTCATCCTTTATAACACATTTCAAAATGAAGTAGGTGAGGTGTACCCTTTTCTATATATTTATCCAAAATACCATTGGACGCGCACTACTTTATCCTCCTTTTCACCCCTTTTTATTCAAATCTCCGAATTCCTCTATCGACATTTGCAGGGTCACTAAGAAGTAATGAACGAATTGTGTGGAAGGAAAATTGATTGCTGCGTTAAGCTTTCGATTCCATTACTTACGCATTTACCGATTAATTAGATGACGTTTACTCGCCGCCTATGTCCCGGGAAAGTTCTCAGCCACGTCGCGCTCGAATCGCGGTGCGTGACCTACGGATATTGGCGCAGTCGTTAGGATCCAAACGTTAGAATCAAAGGCAGCGGTTAGTGAAATACGACGTTCCCTCGGAGGCGCCGTATTCGCTCGCTGCCTTCAAAGTCCGCCGATTCCGCCACAATGACGGTTCGATTTAACGACGGAGCCTGCCTGAGAAGCCGACGCAAGAACTCGAAAGGCGGATTGAAGGGTGATGAAGTACAGCACGCTTAAGGCTTTCGTCGGAGCTAATCTAATTTGCTAAACGTCCTCCTAATCCCGACGAAGTGACGGCGCGCTTGGCAGTTCCGAGTGCGCGGAACTTTCAGAGCTCGCGCGCGATGAATGGGCAGAGATCGGGATCCATAGCCTCATCAGGAATTGAAGAAGAAAAAGGAAAGACGGAGAGGAAAAAAAAAAAGAGAAATTGCAGAGACACAGGGGGACGTTACGCTTCGTGCTGGGAGCGAGGTAGACCGCGACCGCTCGCGCGACGGCGGCGTTTCCCCCGGAAATATGCGTTCCCCGGCGTACCGTTGTGTGCATCTTGCGCTTTATCTTCAAAGACCGCATCATCCCGTGGTCGGCGAAAACAATTTAAATTTGCAATGCAAAGCAGCGATAAGTTCCCAGTCGGCCCGCGGCGTACGATTTGCGAAGTGTACCATTTCGGTTTTTACTTTTTAACGGAGCAGACGAAGGCTACTACCCCCGGCTTGGGGGAATTTACGAGCGCGGCGGCGCCGTGCGCGCGCGCAGCATATTCTAAAATTATACACCGCGACCGGTTCACTGTACAGGACAAATAATGCTTTAGCACGCGGGACGACGAAGGGGAGCTGCGCGCGCGCGCGATGACGCAGTCACGGAATTCCACGCGATCGGCGAATTTCATTTAAATGCAATACACACTCCGCGAGCGCGAACGCGTGCTAACTTCTTAAGTGATTTAACACTTCGACCGTCGTGTCGCGAATGCGCGCGCGAGGTCGGCGCGCTTTCTGCGTTTCCTCAGGTGTTACGGTGCATTTGCATATGGGCCGCCGACTTTATTGCGATTCAAGTCAGCCGCTGTTCCTGAGAGACTCCCGTGAGATCGCGCGCTTCCCGCGCGTCCCGGTGAGCGAGAAGAAGCGAGTGTTTGACTTAAAGATCACTCGAAACACGACGACGGCGGCGGCCACTTTGAGAGTCCCGATCGTTCCGTTTATAATCGAAAGCGAAACTCCGGTCTCGAGATTGAATTGTAAAAAGATCGACGACGTGAATTTCGGCTCCTTGACAAATAAAGACTCGGCGATGAGAGAGTGACACGGGGCTGTCTCCCTGTCGATCCGATCCTTTTTCGCGAGAAAAAGGGGATCAAAGAGAAAAAGAGACAGAGAGAGAGAGAGAGAGAGAGAGAAAAGGGACCGCGATGGGGCGAAGGCACACCACGGCGAGAAAACACGATTACTTCCAAACCTTTATTCGTACAGAACTGTCGGTATACATTAAAAATATGCTAGGTTTGTTCACCGTTTCTTGACGAGGAAGAAAGAAAAGAAGTTATGAGACATTCGTTCTTACAGAGTGCACATGCTCCAAACGTGTGTGTGTGTGTGTGTATGTGTGGACGACGATTCGAGCGAGAACGATTGGAGCGTCAGGGCGGGGCGAGATTGCCTTTATACAAGTACGAATATTACATGGCACAGTTTTTTCACGTTACATTAAAAATGATGAAGTCTAATTACAGGATGGGCGCGCGGCGCGCGCGCTGATCGGGATGACGCGAGCGATGGAGCGACACTTTGCGAGCACGACGTGCTTCTGTCGTACGTTTTGTTCATCTTTTTTTACTTTTTATACATATATATATATATATACATATACGTATGTACATAATACGTAACAGATATAATGTACATAATGATACACATATATATACAGGGTGTCGTTTGCGCTTGGCTAATGGCGACGGCCGCTTGCCAGCGGCGCGCGCGGATGGAACGCTCGCCGCTGGCAGGTCGTCGCTCTCGGAGGTCCTTACTTATCCTAGCAGCCAGTAAGTCGGTAAGAAATCTCGCGTCTCGGCGCCGATTGTTTAAACTCTGCGTCGCGGCTCGTTAACTCTTAATTAATCGCTAGTTATGTATTAGTACGGGTGAGGGGGAGGGGGAAAGGGGGGAGACCGACGAGAGACGAGAGATGGCCGGCGAGACGTGACGCGGACGGACCGATGTGATGAGAACCGACACAGACGACGAAGAAGAAGTAGAAGAAGAGGAAAAACAGCGGTAAGAAAATAACGAGAGAGAAGTGGCGGAGACCGAGAGGACGGCGTGGCACCGTAGTGAGAGCAACGGAAAAATTCCCTGGGGCGCGCGGGGGCGTATATCACTGGAAGTGTCAACACGCGATAACAACACCGACGTAGCGAGAGAGCAGCGGACGCGCGATTGTCTCGGCGACTCGATCGAAGGAAGACTTCCGCGACACAGCGTGTTCTCCAGCCTTCGCGAGGGCGCGTCTCCGAATAAACCCGAGGAATCCCTCTTGATCCCTCTGCGATGCCGCTGTTATCGATGGCGACGTGTTACATCGCGAACGAATCCAGCTCGCTCGCAGTATCGAACGACGTCGCTTTATATCCGCAATTATATCCACGCGCGCGCGCGCGCGCGAGCAAGATTCTCCCGTGACGAGAGCGAAAGCGCGTAACGAGAGCTCGAGCGATAGTTTTTAAGTTGCGAGAGAACGAGCGGGACGGGAGGAGCTTCCTCCTCCAGCGAGCGAAACTTGCAAGATCCAAGTGGGTTGTAAAGTTTTGTCTCTGCTTTAATTCTTAAGCGGAGCTTTGATCCCTGATATCATTCTGGCTGGGAAGTTAGCTGAAGAGCGCGCGAGCGACGATTTTTCAACGGATTTCAATTAGAATCGCGCTTACACGGAATCGCGATTACACAGCGAGCGAGCGCGATACCCGCGGCCGTATTTCGGACGTCCGCTCTCTCTCTCTCTCTCTCTCTCTCTCTCTCTCTCTCTCTCTCTTATCGCCACGAAATCCCGTCGACGAGTGATACAAAGAGTCACGAAAGCGAGACGCGAAAGTCCCGTCTCGGGAGAGAGAACGAGACACTCTTCTCGCGATAATCGTGCCTTTCAAGCGGCGCCTGTTAATTATCCCATCGCCACGAAGACTCCCGGAGTCGGAGTCCTGCTGGAGTAAAAGTCAAAGTCGAGTCATCGACGGATCAGCGGAGCGATCACAGGCGCGGCCGTGTCCCCCGTTTTCTCTCTTTCTCTGTCTCTCCGAGTTAACAATCAGTTCACCGCGAGGCGGCTAATTCCACCTCTATGTCATCACGAAGAATCACGAGCAATTGTGCGAACAAACAAGGAGAAACGAGAAGAAGACGACGAAACAGGACGGCGAAGAAAAGTGGCAGGGGACAGCGACACGCAACCGCGAGTCTCGGCGAATCCTTCCGAATCCTTCTCGCTCGAAGCTCGGCGAGGTCGCGTTTCCGCGGCAAACGTCGACGTATCCTGCTTCGCGTGCCTTTCTTTATGTGGTAACGGTCGATACTCATACAGTGGAGCGATGACGATAATAGTAATAATAATAGTTTATTTTATCGATAACAATAATTTATTATCGTCCGCAGCGACGACGCGTCCATCTGTGCGCTTCTTCACGAAAATATATGTAATGTGTATATATGTATATGCGATATACCTATATATATATATATATATATATATATTTATAGTAATCTCTCCTCCGTGATATCGCCGCGTGCGCGACGGTGTATTTACAATAATTAACTTAACTCTCGCGGGACATTGTTTATCAGACTCCCCCCCCCGGTGACGTAAGTTTCGTGCGCGTCCGGAGGCGAGCGCTCGTTCCGCGATCGCACGAGCCATCTTCAGCAACACACACACACACACACGCACACTCCCCTTCTCCCTGCGCGCGAGAACAATTTTTCCTTTTTCTCTCCTCCTTTTGAAGAACGTCCTTATGTATAGATATGTATGCATCGAGATGCTATTGCCAAAGACGGGACACGTTATTGTAAGTGTTACCGCTGCTACTACTACCAACGCAGGTCGGTGGCTCGTGTGAGAGAAGTTTTTAGTGGTACCACAATGCACTTGCGATCGCTCACGGACACGCCACACTGTGGTACCACTAGGCACAGTGAAACTCGCGCGAAACGCTTCATCACGGCAGCCTCCAGTCGCGAAAGTTACGTCACACACTCGCTCGAAACCGTCATCGTTCGTTTCTCCCCGCAGGCTCGACACTCGACCACCTTCCTCCTCTCGCTGACTTTGAACGGTTCCTCCGGTTAGGTGGATTCTCCCTTCCTCCCCTCTCTCACTCCCTCTCACTCATTCATTCCTTCTCTCTCTCTTTCTCTCTCACTCTCTCGCCTTCGTCCACCCTCCGGCTGACCTCCGACCTACGTGACACCTTCCTTCATCGCGCGTCATCGCGGCGACGAGCATCCCCCTGGATCGGCTTCTTCATTCTTCCCTTCGTCCCGTGTGCCGACGGCATCGTGGATCCTTTCCCTCTGGTGCTCGCCTACCCTTCTCCGTCTTCTCCCCTTGTCATTCTCTCTCGCGACTGTCCGCTGGATAAACGAGAACGAGAGCGCGCGCGGACGGACTGTGGCATCATTGAGCGCGTTCCAGGTACGAGTGATGATTTTTTTCACGTCGAAACGAACGGTCCGAAGTACACGGAGCTTTCCGTCCTTCGTGTGGCTGACGGGAGAGACTGGGTACCTAATTTTTACAGGTGTGCGTTATCGGGGGCTCGGCTTCTTGGAAGCTCAGCGGCGCGAGGGGGCGGGGGATTCCTGATAAAGGGCACGCGTTTTCGTTTCCAGAGGAGGGTGTATCTCCTCTGACGGCCTATTTGCACCTCGATGGAAGATCCAAGGAAGATTCGAAGGCGACAACCTTCAGCGCGGGGCGAAAGAGAGTCAACCAACCGTATCGGAGTGATCGGGTGGTCTTCTATTTTTACGGGCGAGTCAACGGGACCGGCATTTGTACATGCGTGTCGTTCAGAAACGAGAGTTGCTGCAACGCGGTCAATTCAGCTCCGATTGAAAGGGGTGGTCGTTATCGTTACTCGTCTGCGGTACACTAGTCGGGGACACGATCGCCGAGCGAGATCTTCACGTTGCGGAGGCAAAAATGGGACATGGAGGAAAGAAGATATCAGATGAAGAGAAGAGAGAAGGAAAGAAAGACAGAAAGAAAGAAAGAAAGAAAGAAAGAAAGCAAGCAAGAATCTCGCGTCGGTAAAGCGAAGAGACGCGAGACGCCAGGATGGCGAGGACAGGATGGCGTGAGTCTGAGAGAGAGAGAGAGAGAGAGAGAGAGAGAGAGGGAGAGAGAAAGAGATGGAAGAAGAGGAGGAGAGACACCGCGACACTGGACTAAACGGAGGATTAGCTCGAATTCGTCGTAGTCTTTTTCCTCGGCACGAAGGAGATCATCGAGGGAATCAGCTGCCGTTCCTCCGCTACACCCGTGAACACGTTCGGCCTCCGTGCGGATCTCGCTCGGGGACCCCGAAGACGAGACCCGGTCGCGTCTCGTCTTCGGCGCGGAATACTCGCGTCGGAGACGCGAATGACGCGTGTCGAATCGACCGGCGGCAGGCTGGAGGCAAGGAGGAGGGAGGAAGGGTTGTTGCGTTGCGTTATGCGCGCTAACTTGCGCCGTTATCTACAGAGTTATCGGCGCGTACGGTTAATCAAGAACTACAAGGCAGCGCTCCTCTACTTTCTCGCCATCAGCTACATCGCATCGTTCTTCCCCGCTCGGGTAGGAAAGTAAGGCTGAGTTGCACCAACGAGCCCGGCCCGGCTGATCTCTCTCGCGCTACGGTTCTGCCTGATGCGAAGTGTCGAGTGGAGAAAAACGAAAAAGAGAGAGAGAGAGAGAGAGAGAGAGAGAGAGGGAGACAGAACGTTGCATCCCCGGGACGGTGAAAAATTCTCCCGACGTTTCCGACTCGAGCGCTCTCACGATCGTTTTGAACGTCACAGTCGAATGATTGAGCGCTCGCGGCGCAACGCGAACGCTTCGAGAGAGAGAGAGAGAGAGAGAGAGAGGAGATGCTCCACTCGCGAAGTTATGATCGAAATCGAAAGCTAGCCTCGGCAGCCGCGCGGAGCCCGGCAGAATCGATCGTAGCGTCGGCCGACGTTGGTGCAACCGGCGCCCCAAAAAGGCACAGTCGTTGAGTTAAGAACGTTAATTGCGGCTCCAGACACCGAGAAAAAACCAAGAGTTTCCAATCGGGCTACCTCTAAGCCGTTCGTTCGCTTCGCTCTCGTCGCGGAGGACGACCGAGCGATTCGAACGAGCCCTCGCAGCGATCTTGCGGAGAGGAGGGAGGGAGAGGAGAAGATGAACAGGTAAAAGGGAGGAAGGAAGCAGCGGCGCGGCGGCGGTGGTAGCGACGAGGCGGTGCTGCAGCGCGTTTAGCCAGCGACTAAAGAGGACCCTGATGCCGACGGGTTGCCTTTTCATTTCTTTTGTGTTTTTTTTTTTTTCTTTGCTGTTTTCTACGTTCTATCGAGCGCGTTGCTACTGTTGCTCTTGGCTCTACTTGGCTGTGTTGCTGCTACTGCTACTGCTGCTGCTGCTGCTGCTGCTGTCGCTTGTCGCTGTGTGTCGTTTCGCTTGTTATTAAATAGCGTCTCTAATGCGATGCCTGCGCGAAAGCGCAAGCGGTTATTCCACGCTTTTTTTTATTCGTTTGTCTTTGCTTTCTCGGGTTGAGCTTGCTTTGCGCGCTCGGTGGCGGCGACGGCGGAGTGGGATCAAGCCTGGGCCCACTTGTCGACGACTACTTCATTTACTGCAACATAACACACACAAGAGTTGCGATTAACGACAACGGCGGACAGACACACGGTGTGACGAGCGCGGAGCTAAAAGCGGAAATAAAAAGGTTCTCTCGGCGAGCGGCGGCGAGCTGGGGCCAGCTCTATCTTTCTCTCTCGGCAGCCGGCGAGAGCTCCTGCGCGCCGGCGTTATCCTCTCCTCGACATCGGGCCGTCTGAAACGATCGGACTGTCGGATCAATCAGTAGGGGAAGAGGAGGGGAGGCGGCGGGGGCAGCGGGGTTAGCCGGGCCAACTGACCGGGTTTGCGCGGTTTGCTCGAACGAATGTACGGATCCTATGGGAAGCGGTCTTGCGGATCGGCACTCTCGCGGAATTAGCCGATCACCATTCCATCTCGACGGAATCATTGACTGCGCGAGCGTTACACGGCCGTTACACTTTGCGTGGGAAAATGAGAAGTACAAACACGTGTCGCGCGTCGACACGTGTTGTGTCGTGTCGCCTGCTGGCAGGCGAGAGAGCAGAGTGAAAAAAGGTAACAGCCTCGGAGCAAGTCAAGAGTAGAATCAAAATACCCTTATTCGTTTATCATCACAACCATCACATCATTAGAAACCCGCTAGAGCGCGTACAACGTGTAATAAATAAATAACAATATCAGTTATACAGGTGGACGTGTATAGTCGCGCGCGCGTGCGACCGCGTGATATATAGTAATACCCTAAACACCATAAAACTACTCGTACATTCGTTCTGATCCTTCTGGTCTGATTTTCGCTCTTTTTCTTTTTTTGTTTGCTTCGTCATTCCGCGCCGGGAAGATCGATTGTTTTTTTTTTTGGATTTTCTGCCGATCACCGCCGTACCACGGACGACACGTACGGCTGGTTGGTTGATTGGTTGGTTGGTGCGTGCTTTATTACGGTGCGTATGTGAGGGTAATTTGGTTGCGTTGGGATCTTTGTTCTCGTGTTTGTTTTTGGTTCGGTTATTAAAGGCGGTCCGGTCCCATCGAGCAGCTCGAGAGTGTCATGTGAGTGCTGAGTTGATGCTCGATTTCTCGCGGCCGGTTTAAGGTGTCTCTCGGGGATTCTCGCCCTCTCTCGTTCTTTATTTCGACGAGGTCACTGGCGGCGCCACTGCAATCATACGAGGGTAACAACGATTATTTCACCACACGCCGAGTCACTCTCGCTGGCTTAGCTCGTAAGCCTCGCCGCGGTCCACTACGGAGCGGGATGCAGCAGCTGCTTAGTCGATCAAGCCGCCAGCGATTTGGCGATGCGTGGTTAACACAGCGGTGTGCGCGTGTGTGTGCTGGCTGGCTGGCTGGCTGGCTGGCTCGTAAGGAGAAATCGGAGTATCAACACCGAGGATATTGTTAGGGGCGAACTGTGTACTGAAATAGATCCTTGAGAAGGATTGTTACTCGGTCAATCGCTAATTCGTCGATCAGAGTGAGTGGCGAGGGAAGCGACTGCTACTTGTACTCTACAGAGTGAGTAAAAAAGGAATTAAGAAGAAACAAAATGAAGGAACGAATGAAAAATTACTCGGAGGATCTTCCCGCAGAGAACCTTCCGTTTCACGGAAATGCGCGGACCACGGAAATTTCGCAAACACTTTTGCAAACTTCCCCAGACAGAATGTGTGTTACATGATTGAGAGATTACTTATTACTTATGGCGTTATTACTCATTACTTATCGCAGGGAAAAACTGCAGTCTTCTCTTCAAACGTCAGTAAGAAGACACAGCTGTCGAGTAACTAATGTTCTCTTTCGGAATGCGTAGTTTGCGTAGTGGAATGAGAGTACGTGTGCGCGTGTATATATATGTGTGTGCGTGTGTGTGTGTGTGGTGTTACGACATACGGTTAATCAAATGCTATCTGGTGAGTCTTAAAATTGGCAGTTTCAATGTTACCTGCGTCGTCCAGACGTGCGTGCCGTAGTCATCCGCGAAGGCTGCTCTTCCCGTGACTGTACAGTTTGGCACACCAGCAGGCAGGAGTTAGCAAAAGGGGGTGTCGAGGTCGCGCGATGTGTCGCGGGGGGTCAATTCAGCTCCCTCGATTTTTAGGACTTGGGTCATTCCGGATCGACACGACAGTTATCACATCGGTCTGTTTTCCAGCGAACGCATGCAAAAAAACTCCAAACAACAGATTTCAAATAGAACAGGGGGAGAGAGAGAGAGAGAGAGAGAGAGAAAAGAGAGAGTGGCAGGACACACAGTAGCCACGTTTAATGACGAACGAAGACACCGTGGAGACTCGCTGAAGTCGAGAAACGGCGTCTCGACGGCATGTGGGAGGACGGGGGACGGGGTGGTTATTTTCCGAGACCTTGGCGACGTGGCAAACTTGTACCAGACGGTGATCCTCCGCTGACAAGCTCTTGCATGAACCTTTCTCACGTTTGTCACGTTGAAAAGTTGTCAAAGATACGATGATCGGAGCCGGTCTCGAGCGAACAGGCCGTAATTGATTGTTTTCTTCAAGTGTAAATAAACGTATACATTTCCATCGGACGATTATCCCTTTGCACTCGAATGTCCCGTCTGAGGGACCGATGATAACGTAAGGCTAACAAACCACTCGGATGTTTCCTTTCAGGGGATTCACAGTGGTATCAACGCTTCTCTAATGTCAACACTTGAAGAAAGCGATACTTGCTCTCAAAGCCACACACTATTTAATATGACGCGATTCCTGTTTACACATTTTCTTAAAAAGATGGCTCCGAGTGCAAGGGTTAAAAACACAAATGACCGGCGTTTGACAGAACTCTCGATGGGGAGAGTTCACGAAGAGAAGAGAACACGGATCCAAGATTTGAGAGAGATATATATATTACTATACTATAAATTCGCTCCGGCGCAGCGAGGCCCAAAGTCGTCTCGAGCCAGCTCCGATCACTCGGGACGTCGTAGGACAGGCAACAGATAATAATAAGAGAAAGAGACAAGTAGTTAGAATGCTTTTAGGCGAGGAGACCAACTGAATCAAACACTTACTACGTCAGCGGTGTATTAAGTGTTCGATCCGCCGACATACACACGCGACGGCAGACATATACGTATATACACACATATATATATATATATGTATGTACTATATATATATATATATATAGACAGATCCAAGCGGAACTCGCACTCGCTCGAATTAGTAATAAGGCCGAGATCACTGACAGTATACACGGAGTACACGCAATTAGTAACACATGATTCTTTTTATTATAACAAGTAATGCACTAAAATCGTACCACCGGCATACGTTCACTCACTTGTTATAATATCGTTCTGCACGAGCTCTCGTATATCGAATACACGACAAGGACGACAGAAATGATAGACGACTGAACGGAACGGATCGTCAAAGTACAAGGAAATGACGACAATTACATGACGAGACGTAGCTATGCTTATCGTATCGTGTGCAGAACTGCATCGTAACCCGCGGCGGCGCTACGGTCGGACTCGCGTTATACAATTTGTAACTCTTTGCTTGTATCTCCTCATCTTTCTTTATTTATGCTCTCTTTTGCTTCCTCACTTCCGTCTCGCCTCCGCGAATCTCGGGATTCTCATCCGGATTCGCGGCGGAGGACGTCACACGCGCCGCGGTCCGCGCGCGCGCGCGCGCGCGCGCGCGCGACGGATATATACTATCATTTATTTTTACCCGAAATCACTCGATGTTCTCGTAATGCATTCCATAAGTTATTAATATTAACATTACTTTATTATCGTTAGAGATAGGTACTTCCTGCAGGAAACGACGCGATCGTAGTCTCTCATCGTCGCTGGACACCGCGTTTGCTCGTACCGACGTCACACAAGGGTCGATGAAAACGTTCACCGAAAGAGCAGTTTATCCGATACACGCGAGTCGATTTCACTTGGATTTCCCCTCCCCGCGACCGGGAGGGATGCTCTCTCTTTCTTTCCGCTCCGAAAGTTTTGGCTGAGAAAAGTTACCGATCAGTTTTGTATACGTGATATGTGAGGTATGCAAAGAGCTGCAACGAGAACGAGTCGTTACCTTCTTGTGTTTCTCTTTTCTATTTCTCGGGAGGTAGCACGATGGTAAATAAATTAAGAAAAACAACGTACACGCTAGAAACTTCACTTTCTGACAAGCGAACACATCGATATTTGCATGACGCCACGCAGTATTCTCTCTTCGTCGAGATGGCACTACTCCGTCATTCTCGATCAAACGTAAGATACAATGCACACTCAAGTACTTACAGATACATCGTGGACGAACGCAGAACGAGTCGGGCGACCCGGACGCAAAGAGGTGCCGAGCTACTGCGAGTCCCGAAGAATCCGCTGCTGAAAAACACGCACACATGCACACATAAACGTGTGTGTGTGTGCGCGCGCGCGCGCGAGACTCGTTTAAACTTCGCGCTTGAATTTGCCTTTCTCGTTTTCCCGTCGGATCCCTCCGAGCTCCTTCGAGACCCACCGCTCGCACCCCCTTGCATCCGGACCCCCGGCGTTATTCTCGTCGAGTTTATTGAGCGTCACAGAACTGCATTAGAGTCTTCACACGGGCGCGTCGGCTCCGGCGGCGCGCGATACCTGTGCCCCCGTTAATTAATCGAAACCGCAATCCGCGCGCTCGAGAATCCCGCGTCTCGTCGGGACGAACGTCAAGGACTCTCGAGAAGGAAGTTGCCCGAGGAAATATCGTCAGGCAAGAACGGACCGAGTTTCCGCTCTACTTTCGCGCACCTTGCGACGCGGCGTCCCTATAAACACGCTGATTAAAGTTAACCGAGCTCTGACTGATTCTCCATTCGTCCACGGTTCCCCGCTTCTGTACAGAGATGGAACTAGGTAGATGGATAGATAGGTAGGGGGGGGGGGCGGGAGACAGAGAGAGAGAGAGAGAGAGAGAGAGAGAGAGAGAGAGGAGAGAGACGGAGAATCGGAGCTGAAGTTCGGTTAACTCCCGCTGCTGCTTACGACGGGAAACCCTTTCGCGAAGGAAAATCGAAGTTACATCGTGCGCGTGAGAATCAGATCCGCAGCTCGGTCCATCTCAAAGTCCCGTCGTCGCCGTCGCGAGATACGGAATTCGTCGCGCGAATGAGACACAATTACAAGTATCCTCAGCACGGAGGATCACAGCACAGGTATCGGCGCCGAGAGACGCGCGCCGGTAGCTTATCTCTCGCTGAAAAACCAATTGCGTTACTTGCGGAACAGAACACTACTCGAGACACAAGTTCGTTAGTGCGTGGCAGCGCTAACTCGTTCGGTCCGATTAAGTTTAGTTATGCCCATACCAAAAGTATCACGCCTTAACCGTTACTAATTAATTAATGAATTAATTAATTAATTATATTACACTATATCGTGACCGCGCGACCGCGGCCGACTTCTGAGGTGCCGACTACGGCGCAATTAAATTATTATTATTATTATTATTACCATTATTATTATTATTTTTTTTTATTATTATTATGCGTCGCGCACGCCGATAACAGCGGACGATCCACTCCTTCGCGGAACACATCGTCAGTCTTGTTGCGTTTGCACGTGTCCGAGAAGTGGCGATCGCGCTGAATCGCGACGCGATCTCTACGAAGATCCGGATAAACCCCCGGACCGTGCACTGCTGGTGGACAAGGCGCAGCCGTTTGCCGAAGTACGTTCGCGCTCGCGCGACACGACGGCTCGTGTAATTTGTCCCCCTCGGCTGCTGCAAGTTTTATCGTTCCTCGGCGGAGTTTCGATCGAGCCGGTAGCCGAGGAGCGGAGTTTGAGAACACGTTGCACCGTGATGCGAGAGAAAGAGAAAGAGAAAGAGAAAGAAGAAAAGAAAGAAAGAAAGAAAGGAGAGAGAGAGAGAGAGAGAGAGAGAGAGAGAGAAAGAGAGAGAGAGAGAGCCCGCGCGTGATGCTCACGAGTAAAAAGAGGAACGACCGAAACTGGAGCAGCATGGTCTCTCTTTCGGGACACTCGCTCGATTTCGGTCTTTTCTCCTTGATCACCAGTCACGAGGATTACGCCTTTCACCAACAGGACACGCTCCGAGGGATCAACTGACCCGTGAGGTCAGATGCATCGAAGGCCCACGTACTCGTGACGACACCGATTATTCGTCTCGCGCGCATGTGGCGCGCATGTAGCTAAGGCAGTAGCCGAACTCGTGTTCACTCAATCGACAAGTGTCCTCGACCGGGACGAGATCCTGCGTACACGTTTAACAAGCTCGACGGACGAGTTCCCTCTCGCCCGCCCGAACAACACTTTCGGGCAGACGTTGCTCGTCCGACAGGAATTCGGAAACGAGTCCTTGGAACTTTCACTGACGCGTATCACCGAGGCGAATCTTTAGCGTTGAATAATTTATGCGACGAGAATATATCGAGAAAGAGAGGTAGATAAATGGATAGATAGTTCGAGAGGGGGAGGGAAAAATAGAGAGGTAGGATGATCGCGGAAACTTTTCCTCCTCGAGTCGAAAACACAATTTCCGACGTGAACCGAAAATTCCTTTATCCAGCTTCATCCACGCATTCGCAGGATCTCATTAAAATGAAGAGAGCTTCGCGATCAAGGTTAATTCCGTAGAATTTTTACACGAACAGTTTCGACAACGGGGAAACGAATACGACGAGATTTTCAGGGGTAGGATGTGGTAGACGCTACGTGTAAAACGACTATCGCTGTTATCGGCGAGAAATTTTATTAAAAAAAGAAAAAAGAAAAGTCACAATTTTATTAAATCCACGATCAAAAGGACGACAACGCGATACCGCTGTCGATACAAAAACGGACAATCAATCTCGACAATGAGTGTCTGCGTGTTCGGGGCACTGCTCCGATCGTAGCGTAAACAAATGCATTGGAAAACGCATGAACTGCCCCGTTTGTTTCGAGCGCACGAGAAACTTTACGACGTCACCATTTTCCTCTGCTTGACGGTTGCCTTATTTATACACTTACGAGCTCTTGCAGTCCATATCCGGAAATTAGTGATACGTAAATCTCTTGTACGGCAATAAATCTTTAGAGAATACATAAAAACACACGTATTTGGGCAGGGTAGGAACGAGGGGGGGGGGGAGAGGAATATATGAGGAACGGGGTGCGTGAGTGAGTGAGTGAGTGAGTGAGTGAGTGAATGAATGTGTGCGTGCGTGCGTGCGTGCGTGCGTATGCATGCATGCATGCGTGCATGCGTGCGTACATAGTGGGACAAATTAGAGAAGAAAGAACCCTGCTGTGCCGGTGACGTTGGCAATCATTTCCGAAAGGTGCGTCTTCGCTGAGAATGCAAAGTCCGCGACGAGCGTTTCGCCGTGAGGAAAAGACTAACTTCTACATAAAGATATTTACAAAATTTCACACTTACACGATTGTCCCGTATACGATTGTTACAGGCTCTGAACAATGCAATGCGCGCAAACGTGCAACAGAACGCAGCCGTTTGCTCTCGACCGGAACATCAACGACGTTTGACCCCTCGCAGAGGGGCGCAAAGGTCGCCGAGCCGTCGACACAGCAGGATAATACAACACGATTGCGATTCGAGAAAGACAGGTTACGACACAACACAAGAGGGGGGAGAGAGGGAGGGTGGGTCTTACAAAACGTGCAGTTAATTTCTACACCGTGCGTGCATCGTTTTTATCGCCACACAAAGGAAGACACGGTATATTATCGCGGGATACAAAGTGAGATCCGGTTCCTAATACGAAGTCCCTGTACGTTCTCTTGAAATTTGTCAGGCAGCTGTCCCAGTTTCGACTTCACCAGACACTGAGGAACCATCGATTAACGTGCGATTTATAACAAGCGACACTGGAAGCAACGGAAGTACGTGTGTAAGCGAATTCTCACGAACGAAGAGAAACGTTAATCGCGCGAGCCGATACGTTATTGCCAATTCGTGCAGCGTGCGTGCATCAGGCTCAGCCTGGAAAGAAAAATTAGAGGGGAAACAAGTATAAAACTACCGTCGAGAGAAAGAGACAGAGATAGAGACAGAAAGAGAGAGAGGGTTCCACCCACATTTCTCGGCCGATGGTTGCTTATTGTCTTCGTTGTGTAAATTCGCGTATATATTCCGACAGGAGCTCGTGTGTGCAGGCGCCGTGTGTGTGTGTGTGTGTGTCCGCCCGTAACTTGCGCGCCGTGGTCATTGCTCGAGCCGGCGCGTCGTTAACGAGCAAAACTACTTTGTACTTTCCAAATCGATCGGGATCATCAATTGTACGTCGCGAACATGCACGGGGATATAAAAATTTGCGTCGTTAAAAACTACGATCCTCTGCGGCGCCCGAGGCCCGTCTCTTCCCAGCCGCGGCGAGTTCGACTGACAGTAATCGTGCGACCTGCTTGCGTTCGTCCCGATTTCTCTCGGTGTCCCGTTTACGCGACACGTCTATGGCGATACGTCTCTATATATATATATATATATATATATACTAAGCGTACTACTAATATATAAAAGATGGTGTTTACAGCAGCGGCCGGGACGAGGAGACGCGACGTCGAGCCGGAGGCTCGATGGGCAACCGCAGACGATGTCATCGGCGAGAAGTGTGGATGGACGGCATGCGTAAGTTGAGGTGTTGATACTACTGCCGTTAGTGTACACTAATGGAATCGCCACAACTACCGGGTGCTAACTAAACCAAAGAGTGCGAGAAGATTGAGAGGAGGAAGAGAAGAGATGTATAAATAATAAGTACATAGGGGAGGAGAGTGATGGAAAGGGAGTCACCGAACATATCTATACCGGAAAGAACACCCATATGAATAGTTCCGTGTTTGTTGCAGAGGAAATTCAATATCCAAAAGGCACTCGTAGAAAATAATTTAACGATCACAATCTTTGATTACGACGAGTCGTCTCTCTTGGATCACTCGATGCCACTCGAAACTTGTGATCGTTGAGCGACGTCGGAGGGGGGGGGAGGAGGAGGGGAGGGGGGTACGGTGTGTATGATGCGGGCATGGTGGGCCTTGGTGGGCGTATTCTTATTTGTTTTGTTTTTCTTTTCCGTACGGTCGTAACTAACACCATGCACAACAGTCAAACTGCGGTTAAAATCTCACTTGAACGCACTCTCTGTTAATAACTTATCTCGCGCCTTCCCGCGTCACGGAGGGAAGAGCTTCGGTTAAATGCAAATTGCAAGTCCAAGGTATTTAGTCGCGGATGCTTTTCCATAGGAAAAAAACATCGTCTGCTAGACTAATAATATTATCTCACGGATGTTCTATATGGGACAGATATACAACAGTTCAAAGAACACAGCCCACATTAGAACGATCCAATGTACGGTGTAAATTGGATTCTCACCGTCTGTGATCTTTCTGGCAATGAACTTCAAGGTTTCGTCGAGAAGTACCACTGGAATGGAGAACTTCATAACGGTAACCCATTCTTCACCCGTTAGCGGGGTCACTTGGAATACGGACTGAAACAAGAAGGGTCAAGTGTGCTCGGGTCCGACGAAATTTTTCGCGCAGCTTAAACTACTACGAGAGGTGTACTCGGAAAGTTCGCGTACTTACCGAAAGAACATCGACGTACAGGATGACGAAGTGGAGTGTGAAAGAAAGGGCCATGGAGGCGATGAGCCACATGTTGGACCAAGGCGGCATAGAGATGAGCGACTGATTCTCGGATAAACTGTGTGCAAGAAATGCAAATTTGCTCATAACCGCGGAAGGTCAACTTTCGGGTACACGCCGAGAACCCTTTCTTCCTCACCTGTTCATGGCGTTTAACATTTCAATAGTGACCAGTACAGAGAGAGCCATCGTCATGGGGTGAGGGTCCGCAAAAATCTTACAGTTGATACCTTTGAACTCGTCTCCACCACCGATACATGCTAAGTGATGGGTCTGCGAGAGTTTTGTGCGAATAATCGACAACGATTAGATCAGGATTCTGATTACCTCGGAGATTTTTCGTAGTAGCTCCTAATGTATTATGATGAACAAACTTACCACTTGGTAATAATTCATTTGAGGTCCGTCTTGACAGTACATGAACCACCAAGCAGCCGAGCCGACAGTGGCGGCGCCTACGTATCCACCGATAGCCAAGTAGCGGAAAAATAGCCACCCAGAGATCAGAGATTCGTCAGCTTTGCGGGGAGGCTGTGACAGACACACAGATAGTTGAGACACTTCATATCTGCTAATATATTTATTTCCAATAACCGACATCTCACCTTGCTCATGATGTCCAGGTCAGGCGGGTTGAAGCCGAGAGCGGTGGCTGGAAGACCATCAGTGACCAGGTTGACCCACAGAAGTTGCACCGGGATCAAAGCTTCGGGAAGACCAAGGGCGGCGGTCAAGAATATACTGTAGTAGAAAATAGAAAGAGTCAGTATATAGATGAATCCTCGACGTAAGTCTCTCCTCGTTACGGTATGTCGTTACGTAAATACCTGACGACTTCGCCAATGTTGGAAGAAATAAGATAACGGATAAACTGTTTCATGTTATTGTAGATGGCACGGCCTTCCTCAACGGCGGCTACGATAGAGGAGAAGTTATCGTCCGCCAATACCATCTCCGAAGCAGACTTTGCGACCGCAGTGCCGGAGCCCATGGCGATACCGATTTCGGCTTTCTTCAACGCGGGTGCGTCGTTCACACCGTCGCCGGTCTATAAAGAGCAAAACATGTAGTGATTGAACATTGATTCGACGATAAGAAGAAGATCGACCGAACACGATTAAAGCAAGATGGAAAGCAAAGACCACGAGAATGAAACAGCCACACGATTTAGAATAATATCGACGACACACTCACCATAGCCGAGATCTCATTCATGCTCTGCAAGTACTCTACAATCTTGGACTTGTGAGCCGGTTCTACACGGGAGAAGAGACGTGCTCTGGCGCAAGCAGCCTTCTGTTCCGACATCGGGAGGTCGTCGAATTCACGTCCAGAGTACGACTTGCCAGTGGTGTCCTCATCCTCACCGAACACTCCAATGCGTCGGCAGATAGCCTCAGCGGTGGCCTTGTTGTCACCGGTGATGACGATTACGCGGATACCGGCGGCACGGCACCTCGCGATCGAGTCGGATACTTCCTTGCGAGGTGGATCAAGCATGCCTACAACGCCGATGAACGTGAGCTCCTTCTCGTAGGTGTAGAATTTCGTGGAATCGTCCAGATCCATGTCGTCGGGCTTCATTGGATGGTCAGCGGTGGCGAGCGCGAGGCAACGCAGCGTGTCTCTACCAGTTCCGTACTGCCTCGTCAAGTCCAAGATACGGTTCTTCAGGGTCGACGTGAGGGGTATCTTCTGGCCATTGACGCGACAGTGTGTGCACCTGTCCAGCACACCTTCCGGCGCACCTTTGACGAACAGTTTCGGTCCGGATCCCAGCTTCGACGGCTTGAGCGGCACGCAGTACGATGACATGGACTTGCGATCGCGAGAGAACTCCAGAGTGAATTCCTTCTTCCACTTGGTCTCCATGTCTTGCCTGACCACGATAGCACCGGCACGGCGGTCCAGACCGCTCTTGGGGACGGCGTACGGGTTGATCTTCTCGGCGAGGACGATCAGAGCGGTCTCCGTGGCTTCGCCGACCTTTTCGAACGCCTGCTTGAACTCATTGAAGTCAATCGCGGAGTCGTTGCACATGATGCAGATAGTGCCGATCTCCTGCAGCGTCTCATAATCTTGTCCCTTGATCTTCTGTCCTCTCAGGAAGATCTCACCGATAGGCTCGTAAGTCGATCCAGTGATCTCGAACTCGTGGAAGCTGCTGTCGTTGCCCTCGACCTTGTCGAAGATGAACATTCTGCAAACGTTGCAACGTTTAAGATTAGACTCATTGATGCCTAAAGGAGAAGGAAGGAAACGAAGGGAAGGAGAATTATTTCTGCGTTCGTCGAATTTGACAAGCGAAATTGACAATTATATTCCAACCAAGTTTCTTTCACAGTCGGTTGTCTTACCGGCTAACAGACATCTGATTAGTCGTCAGAGTGCCGGTTTTGTCGGAGCAGATGACAGATGTGCAACCCAGAGTCTCGACGGACGGCAAGGATCGCACGATGGCGTTCTTCTTAGCCATACGTCTGGTGCCCAAGGCCAAGCAAGTCGTAATTACAGCGGGCAGACCCTCGGGGATAGCAGCTACGGCGAGAGCGACGGCAATCTTGAAGTAGTAGATGGCACCCTTGATCCAGGATCCACCATGGGCCGGGTCGTTGAAATGGCCGATGTTGATGGCCCACACGGCGACACAGATCACGGAAATCACCTTCGACAGTTGCTCGCCGAACTCGTCCAACTTCTGCTGCAACGGCGTCTTGATCTCCTCGGTTTCCGACATCTCTGTACGGATCTTGCCGATGGCTGTGTTCAAGCCGGTTCCAATGACGATACCGCGGGCTTTGCCGGCGGCGACGTTGGTGCCAGAGAACAAGATGTTTTTCTTGTCCTAAGGGAACAGCCAAGCGGTTTATTTGGAGAGAAACACTTTGGAAAGTTTGCGATGTAAGTGTAAGTGTAGAGAAACATTTTTCTCAGCAATTCTAAAACAATACGTATCACGCATCTGGAAGATTCTCTCATTGTATTTGGAGAACGTGTACTTTGATGACTAAATATTATGTAAATGACTATAATATTATGAAAGACTAAATAGTCCGCGTTTAGAAAGATCTCTTCCCAAAGGAGCTTAAATCGTTTGTGCTACTCTTTAAGATTATTCCTTCGTTGTCACATCGTTCGAGTTTCCAAGCTTCCGTAGCAAAATTCTCTCAACTACGATTCTGACTCCAAGTATGTCACACTGTTGAGACTGGAAGAATCGAAACGGCAACGACAACACGGCGGAAATTATTTCTATATTTCTACGAACCTGATTGACAGCGCGCGGGTCGGGCACAGGATCGGTATGCTTGATCACGGATACCGATTCACCAGTCAGGATAGATTGATCGATCCTGAGGGTAGTCGAGAAGATCTTGGACAGACGAATGTCAGCCGGGATCTTGTCGCCGACCGACACCTCTACGACGTCACCGGGCACGATCTCCTTGGCCCGGATCCTCTGGACGCCGGACTTATCCCCTCGCACGACCTTACCCATCTCGGGCTCGTACTCCTTGAGCGCTTCAATCGCGGACTCGGCGTTCCGTTCCTGCCAGACGCCAACCACGGCATTGGCGATAAGGATGAGCAGAATGACGAAGGGCTCGACGAAGGCCGTGAATGCATCCTCGTGCTCTTCAAATAAGGCTAATACCTGGCCAGGGGCAGATAATCGATCAGCGCGGCTCGAATGGGAGAGTTGGAAGAGCGAAGAGGCTTGGGAGATTTTTTATCAGCTCTCTTTTCTCCCGCTTTGTTCCCCGGAAAAAAAGAAGTCGCGAGCGGAAAGAACGACCGAACCGAAACTTTCACGAACTTCTTCGGAACATATTCCGTCGCCTTTTCATGAGATATAACGCGATAAAGAATCCTGGATAATGAAGTTGATTTAATCTGCAATGATCGAGAACATGCTACGATTGAGATCAATCGATCTCAAGATTAACCAGAGTCTAGCGATAAATATGAGAGAGTTTTGTATAAAATGTAAACTGAGAAATTGGAAAAAGAAAAAGCAATTTTAAAAGTGCAACCGTTTTGTTACTTCCTTTCTCTCCTCAGAGTTTCGTTTTTTGTTTAAGTTGACACATGAGCTATCGGCTGGCTATGAACGCGACTTCGATTGACACGTTTATACGCGACGACGCGTACGACGACCGATTAACGAACTTTTGCTTACTACTGCGATTGATAGGTCAAACCCCAGAGAGTGAATGTTATACATTTCTCTGACGCGCTGGAAGAAAATCAGATCACCATGGCTACTTCGTCAGATCAATATGCTATTTTTTCACCTCTCGTGGCAGGTATATTTAGCCTCATTTACCCTTGAACCCCCCGTAAACATATAATTACGGGGCTTTTAGCGGAGCGGCATGTACCGGAAAATTCGACTAGGAAAAAAGCGTCGCCAAGTCACTTCACGTTATTGCGTTACGCATACGTGCGCGTGCACAAGACGATGTGGCCTCGACAGTCGTGCGATGATAAAGCCTAATTTTTCATGTAAATCAATTCGGATCTTAGGCGACGGGACATGCTCGCGTTTTCATTCAACAGCGTTTCACTCCTACTTACAAAAGAAATAATAGCGGCTAATAGAAGAATCTTAACTAGAAGGTCATCGAACTGTTCCAGGACGAGTTGCCAGATGGATTTCCCTGCAAGCGGAAATTCAATTGAATCGGACATTATAATCAGGTGTATTAAGTCGGATATTTGCTGAGATAAGCTCTTTCGGCTTATCTCGGCAGATAAACATTTCGACGGTATTCTACCTCGCAACTCGAGAGAGAAGTATCCCAGCGACAAATTGGCATTAGATTTACGTGGCGGAATTATGAGAGATGCAGGATTATCACGTCAAATTATACGCTTCCTCCCCTCTCCTCAGTCTTCGAAGGAAACAATTTACTATTTTCAATGCACAGACATCGAAGGTAACTATTATTTACAATGCATAGACCGGGGCGCAATCTATATACCTCTGCACCTCGAAACAATGCTTCATTGTTACGCGTCGTCTCGTAAGCTATACGTGACAGCACGTTCGCGCAACGGTACATTTCACATTTTCTTTCGTCGCGACGAAAATCATCAAATCATCGCGACAGTGGCGAGTGGCCGGAGCCGGCAATTTTCTTATCTTTCGTAACAATTGGACGGATTATTTGACGGAGTATTTAACGTATTTAGTACGACGTGAGAGTCGTCGGCGAGAGAAAGGGGGGAGGGGGGGGCGGGGACAGGGGGAAGTTCGCGTTATGCTCGAATTAGAAGGCAGAAATTAAGTAAGCGGCGTTTACGGCATAATATTCTATTCGCCGTAAGTTCTATTTTAATCCAAAGCAACACGTGTGTTTCGTGACACGAATACACACACATACGCACACACATATACGTACACAATACACGTACGCGCGCACACGAACGCTTTCGCGATTTAATTCAGTGTTACGAGGAAGGCGCACTTTCGCGAGCAAGTAGGCACTCTTTCGCGTTTAGGCGCACCGACCAACGTCAGCGAGCGCAAGAAAATATAACGTATGCGGTCAGGAAGAAATAGCGGCGGATGCCAGCCAGGGGCACAAGCCCTGGTCGTCCTTGACGACGAGCGCCTTTTGCCTGCACGCGATTGACGTCACGTCATTGCTCCACGGTTGACGATTTCATTAATTGTAATTTACAGCGGAGCGGCTAGAGACGAGCGAAAATCCGATTGCCCGGCAATTGCGAAAGTTGCGGCGCTCCCTTTCGGCTCCCCCCCTCTCACTCTCTCTCTCTCTCTTCCTATGTCTTTTCTCTTCTCCACTTTGCTCTTCCCGCCTCTCTCCTTTGCCGCGCCGCAGGAGCTTCCTCTTGGCGCCATTCCTCCTTCGCCGAGACGAGGAGAGCGACGATACATGTAACTTCCACACGATATTAATACATAATCCATTTTCTCTCGCGTACGTGTTCAAGGACCGCCCCTTTCTTCCTGTGTGATTTCGCTATCGCGTGCGAGTTTCGTCGGTGACTACACGGATATGCAAACACGCGTGTTTTCGTTACATAAATTGCACATAATACCACCGCGGCTCACATTCAGCCGCATCTCGGAAATTAATATTGCGGAAATTAATCTAGCGCTCTGCGTCGTCATAAAATAGCCCGGCGGTACATTTCTCTCTCATCTCTTCCTTGTCTTTATCTCTCGCTCTCCCCCGTTCTCTCTTTCTCCCCCCCCCCCTCTCTCTCTCTCTCTCTCTCTCTCTCTCTCTCTCTCTCTGCGTCGTACCTGCGTGCACACAGTGACACGCTTCATTACCGGATTCAATGTATGACAATAGGCGCTGTCAATCGCTCGCTGGTAGTATGGGTGTACACGTATAGGCACGAATACATGCATACGACGGATAGATAAAGCGACAGCGGTTATAGGCAGTTACGTGTTTGTAACCGACCACGCGATTAATTTGTGACAGGAATCTCATTAATACAACCTTTATCGACCGCCGCTGACACGCACGACGATTTCGTTCGCATGAAATAAAATATGGGGACAAGGGGAGGACAATTCGGAGCATCGAGGAGGATCCTTCCTTCTAGTCCTTTCCGCGACGAGAGAATACTTCGTCGCGAGTTTGCTCTTGTCTCTTGCCTTTGACATACAGACCGTATCTGAGCTTTATCGACAAACTTACAGGACAGGTTCTGTGCTGAGAAAACAGATATGTAAATATCTGAACGATACAGAAGAAATTCCGGTCGAAGTTATTAGAATTCAGTCTAAATTATCAGGACTTCGGGTCTTATCTTCAACCTGGCATTCTCAATCGGAATTTCTGAATCGAGACGCCTTCAGAAGCCTTCAGAAGATGACAACAATGACAGAATTAAAAATGCTACGCTTGTATGCTAATACGACGCTTGTTTTACCTGTTTTGGAAATAATAACCTAACAATTTTAATTTCTGAATTTATTAACCAGGAAATAATTTATTGTGACGTTGATATATTGTCGCCGTTCGTCGCTGTGAAAAAAAAAAGAAAAAACGTATTATTTCTCCTTAGCATCATAGATGCCTGTATATTCGAGGAATTTGCAGTTTTGGCAGAATTCTTTCTTTTTTAATATATAAAATATATTTCCTAAAAACGGAGCGGCAGCTGTATTTTAAAAACTAGACGTTTCAGAACATATATTTACTAAAAGTTTTCTACTTGTTTTTTATGTAGAATCTATCCTGAGTTTGTCGGTAGAGTCAGATACACCCCGTATGTAAAATCTCTCTATCTATCTATCTATCTATCTCACTGATACCATCTCGCGAAAGAACACACGGCGGGATTTATCGAAAATATTCCGCATGCTCCATCGGCCAAGAACACTCGATGCCATATTCCAGGCGGTCGAGTCTCCTGAATAATGCTAATCACGACGAGAAAGCAAGAGGAACAGAGAGGAGGAGAGATCATCAGGCTCGGGCAAACGCAATCTCCTGTCGTTACGAGAGAGCGTCCACGCTTCTCTGTTCGTTTGTGAATAAATCCGAAAATGAATCTCTTTCTCTGCCGAGCGCGACGCGTCGATGTCCCGAGATTCATTGGGGAAAATCGCGTTCGCGCTGCAGCCTCGAAGAATCGTATTACGCGTTCGATAAATAAATGAAAAAAAAAAAAAGAAAAAAAAATAGGAAGGTAAAAGAGAGAAAAGCGCGGTCTCTCTGGTGAAAACCCGATTTCAGCCGAGTTATCACGCCGAGAGGCACGAGTGAGATCTCGTCGGATATTACTACTGCGTTCGAATCAGCATTAATTCAATGACGCCTCGGCCTATCTTATCTCATTTGCGTTCGATAAGATCGCATACAAGTACACATCCCCGCGAGAAGGGTCATCGGTTTCACCGACTGCTCGAATATCACGCTTCACACGTCACAACCACCTTTTAATAACGCGCAATGGAGCCAATCTAATATTCGCGCGCGCGTGCACGCTCTGTGTCGTATGCATATATACCGGTAACGCAGCTGTAATACGATATAGATTGCATGTCAGTCAAACCGACGATCGATCTCGCCGCCGCGTTAACTCGCGGACTCTTAACCCAATTTCGCCCCGACTTAATCTAATTAAGGCTCGCGCAGATCGGCGCACATCCGCGCCGGCAGGGGCAGAGAGGGAGGGAAGGGGGGAGGGGGGAGAGGACTCGCCCCGCGTTTCGGCGGATTCGCCTTCCGGTATTTCCCCGTGTGTATTCTCTTCCTCTACTTTTTTTCCCGCAACTGCACACGACAGCCCCGCGTCACGGGCGATAATAACGGAGCGCCGAGCAGCAGCGAGAGGGCCGTTCGGCCGGCGCGCGGCGGGTCGATTCGTCGCCGAAGGTCGTCGCGCGAACAAGCGCGAAGATAGCGCGAGCCTCCGCGCGGCTCGAGTGCAGCGGCGGTGTAATGCCGATGCAATTACGGCCGAGTCGAAAGCGACGTACCGGCGTCTCTCGCCTCGAGACCGACGGCAAATGGAACGAACGGGCTTCGCACCTCTCTGCGGATTCCGCGACGGCCTGAACAACGCGAACGACACGTCGCGCTGTTTGCTCCTCCACCCCTGCGGTCGTTGCCCGTTGCTTACTCGCTGCTATTGCGTGGGAAAGCTCTCGCCGACCACCCCCGTGCGCATTATTCGCCTTGTAATCAAGCCCGCTTCATCGCTTCGTCGCTGAACGAAAAAATTGTCACGCCGAGCAGAAGACGGACGAAGAATGCGCGGGGCGCGGGGAGACGCAAACTCGAGCGGATTTCCAAGCGGCGCCGAATTTCCAACGTAAGCGAAGAAGAGTTAAGAATGAGAATCGCGTTGTCTCGCGCCTCGAATTCGTATTCTGTATCGTGTTTCTCCCCGCGTATCCCCCAGCGTCCAGGTCGTGCGATTGATCGAGGCCGCTAATTCCGCCGGCAGGGCAGGGCGGCCCGAAACCACGAAGACAACAACATCGGCGTTTCAGCTCTCATGCGGGCGGCGGCACTCGGGTCGCACTCACACGTGCAACATGTCGGCTCGCGAGTGCACGTAATAACGTATAGCGCGTGCGACGTTAATGCTCGGCGGCTTATGGAGCTCCAGAAACAGCCGAGCTGGCCTACTTTGATAGCGATGGCTTTTCTCGCACGGCGCCTCCCGCGAGGGACGCTCGCTCGCTCGCTCGCTCGCTCGCGCGGAGTTTCGGCGACTCGTAAATTGAAAAACTCGTGATATACTCGCCGCGCAAATCACGATACTTAGCCGACGCGGCATCACAGCGAATGGTAAATAGGGAAAAGTTGAGTTTCCAGTTTGCGAGCGCCCACCGATCAGGAGAGCGCAGCTGCGTATGCCAATTTGTCGCGAGACCTTACCTGCTCTCTACGTCACGCTACGGCCGTCACAACGGCGACGGTAGGTCGGTGGTACTCACCCTCCTCGGCTGGCAATTCTGCAACAGAGAAAGAGAGGAACGCGTTAGAACGCGACGGATCCACCGGCGAGATAAAAGAAGAAAAGCTGTCGCAATGACAATGGACTATGCACTGGACTATGCATAGAAAAATATGGCAATTATTTAGAATAGTGGAGCCACCCCCGATTTCAATAATTTTCATATATATTATTATTACTATTCTCCTTTAATAACATGCAACAAATTTTAGTTGTCGGTCGATGCTGATTAAAAAGTTACTAACAAAAAAGTGTAATGAATAATATTCACGTATTGAAGCACTACGTGTCTTCTGTGGATATAATTGTACAATACTGTGCATAGAGATTTACTTAGGTATTATATTCTTCGCTTGTTTGTCTGTTTATTTACCTTTCTTATACTGGTTATACGTCGAAAGAAAAAGATGTCTACATAGTGAAGGAAATTCAAGCGCTGAGCTAGTACAAGATAGACTGTCGAAAGAGTAGTAATACATTTATATAGCGAGCTGGAAAATGAAATTCTATGAGTTTCTTGCTTTAATAATTTTAACAAATTATAATGAGTTGTTGAAATATTTATGTTCAAAAAATGTTATTCGTAAGAAAGTAAAATGCCCACGTTGTCAAAATATTCTGGAGTTGAAAGATGGAGAGCTTTTTTTTCAATGTGCCAAACATTATTATAAAAAAATCCAGAAGCGTAAATATAAATGAGTTGCTTGCAATTTTAAAATTAGTGCTTTACATAGAGCCTGGCTCTCTCATGGACATTTAAGTATGGATGTAGTTTGTCGTTTAATATGTTACGTCATGATGTTAAATTCTCCTAGACAATTATTTTTGCAACGAGAGCTTAGTATCTTAGCATGCACTGCAGTAGATTGGGCGAACTTCAATCGAGAGGTAATTATATGTATATGTATGTATATAGTTTCGTTTTGTAAAATACATCTATCGGACGGACGGGGAGGGTGCGGGAGGGGGGCCTAAGGTTGCAAACCCATTTCCTTCAGTATGTAGACGTGTGTTTTTCTTTCGATGTATAACCAGTACAAAAAAGGTAAATAAACAAACCAAGCGAAGAATATAATACGTAAATAAATCTCTATATACAGTGTTGTACAATTATTTCCACAGAAGACACGTAGTACTTCAATACGTGGGCATTATTCATTACACTTTTTTGTTAATAACTTTTTAATTAGCATCGACCGACAACTAAAATTTGTTGCATGTTATTAAGGGAAGATAGTAATAATAATATATGTGTAAATTATTGAAATCAGGGATGGCTCCCCTATTCTAAATAATTACCAAAAATATAATTGAATTAACTATATAAACTATATTTTATAGTTCATTTTGGCGTCAACTATATTTTTATAGTTCGTGGAAACCTGCTCTCTAAAAGTGAATCAGTGAAACTCACTGTCAATCAGCGATTATGCAGTGATTGTCAGTGCTAAATATATGCTAAATATACCACTGAATTTTTCAGTGGTATACTATATAATAGAGTGCAAAATATAGTAGAATAAACACAAATATATAGTCAATGATTGTTTTAAATAATTGTTTAGTTATTTTTACCACATATATGGTATTTTCTTGTTCACAAATATAGTGAGATTTAATCTAGTGATTTAATATAGTGAGATTAATAATTTAATTATAGTTACATCTGTCATCATTTAGCAAATATTCTGGTAATATTGACTATATAAAAGAATTACTCTTACCTACCATTTTATATTTGCACCCATATAATAATTTTGGTTTAACTTGCTATAATTCTTAGTAAAAATATTACATGGTTGGTTATACTATATCTATATCGTAATTATTACCGATATTATGGTAATACTTACTATAAATATGATATTTCGGACTATAATTTAGTTACTATATCATTATAGTTCCAAATATCATATACTTTTCTCTCAGTGTGCGCGCGCGTTCGCATAGTCTATCAGAGAACGAAGACGCGGGGATAAGCGGCGGCTATTAAAATGTCCGTAAAATGTCTCGTTTCTTGTCGCGTTCTTTTGAGCAATGTCGCAGGAAAATCCCCTCGACGACTGATCGCAGGTGCAGCGCGTCTAAAAACTTTACGACTTTCGCGAACGGTCGTTAGCGAGGCACCTTGACAAAAGTGGGCGAATCGTTGAACGATAAGTTGTTTCATGAGTCTGCGCGTGGAAATGATTCGTCTAATGCGAGTCTAAAGCCAGGCGGCCGCCTCGCGCGCGCGCGCGCGTTTTAACGGGTCCGCTTTAAGGTGTCCTACTTCAAATTACACGGCGACGCCGGGGATCCCCAGTCCCATAATTTCCATGACACGGACAAATTGAAGGGGAACCGCGAAAATGAATTTGGCGTGCAGAATGGGTGTACTCCGGTCGGGCGGAGCGTGCTCGTGACAGTCTGTGAAGCGTTAAATCTCCGAAAGGTCCGTACGGCGCGGACGCGCCGGGCGGATTGAATTTACAGAAACCTACTCGATATTATCGAATTTCATACTTCCGTCCATCGTGCACGCAAAAATACGTCGCGTCACCGTGTATTATTTCAGCCAGCCATCTCCGACGAGAAATTATCAGGTCACATATTAATTTCCTCGAATCGTGAAGAGCAACGCAAGAGAGAGATTGAATCGCTCTTATCAGCAATTATATATACCTGTATTTCAGCGAATGCGTCGTTGTTTTTTTACGCCGTGACAGCGCTTGCGCAACCGTTTGTTGCACGGCGGAATCGCGGACGTTACGACCCTGCAACATCAGATGCATCGCGCGTGTCTCGATTTGATGCTCCATCGGCGGATCGTCGCCGTAACTCCAGCCGAAGGATCGAGTTTATATTTTTACCCCGGTTTATTCCCCAATTTTATGTCCGATCCGGAGTTTAAACAACGGGGTCGATTACTCCTCCCCTCATGCGAGTTCACTGGCGTCTCGAGATTCGGCATGCGTGCGCGCGTACGAGTGTACATCCGCGAGTTTTAACAGGCCCGCCGTATAAATATTTAGGCGTACTCAACGCGGAAACACGGACGTTCCCGTAAAACGAGCGTCTCGTTGCCTAATAAAACCGGAAGAATGCCGTCGAGACTGGAGCGATCGAAGCTACGCGTATATGGTGCTCGTTTCCCACGATTTTGCCTCCTCGACTGCAGCTTTCCCGAATTCGCCGATCTATCCGGAGCGCCAGTTTTTTTCTGGACGACGAAAATTTCATCGAACGTAAAATCTTTCTTCCGCCTCTCTCTTTCGCGACGCTTTCACCTTCCGGAGAATTAAATACGCCGGTAAACGAAATTGCATCGAAATTCCATTAGAGAAAAGTACAGCAAAAAAAAAGAGAGAGAAAAAAACAAACGTGACGATAAACGTTTCCTCGCAAGAAGAATCGAGAGAGGATGCGGAGAGGTACCCTTCCTCCACCTCCTCGTTCTCTCTCGTTCTCTCTCTCTCTCTCTCTCTCTCTCTCTCTCTCTCTCTCTCTCTCTCTCTCTCTCTTTCTCTCCCTCTCTCGCGGGCGCGACGGAAAAGCGCTGTCTGCCGATGCGAGCGGCGCTCGCTCGCTCGCTCGCTCGCGATACGCGCGTAATGACACGTGAGGAAAAACAGAGACACGTGGGAGTCATTGATTCGCATATACTGGATCCGCATAGATTTTCCTTGAATGGCCGTCGCGTACGATTGACGTGTGCAACACAGAGGGACACGTCGCTTCCCGTGAAACGCACATCAGCAGATTTTGAAAGGCCGTCTGTAATTCTCCAAGTCGCACAAAGGCAGGCGCGAAAGCGTTTGTCGCGCGAATAATAGCTTCAATTTCACGTCGATTTGCGGCGCAAGGCAAACTCCGCTAATTTCGCACGCAAACGCCGGTACCGAAAAGCGCCGGCGGCGTAATATCGCTGCTCGGCAGATTAATATCAGCGTCGGAAGGAAAAGCGGGAAGAATTTGCCGATGGTGCCGATGGATGTACGCCGTCAGAGAGAAAGAGAGAGAGAGAGAGAGAGAGAGGGAGGGAGGGAGGGAGGAGAAAAAGAGAGGGATAGAATAATAAACCGATAATACATAATTAACGCCTCGTTCCCGAAAATAACAAGGAATTATCGCTATGTATCGTAGTATAATTATCGAATCTATTTGAAATCTTAATATATATACAGGGTGTCCCAGATCTTTTTAAAAACGGAAAATTGCGATGATTAATCAGATCGGACTGAGAAGAAAAGTCAAGTACCATTTTGCAAAAATCGCAATAGTTATCAAGTTATTAATGATTCGATATGACCGCATCCAGAAGCTGTTTTAATTAACAACTTGCAAATTCGCCTACTTATTTGCAAAATAGTAAAGGGCTTTTCTTCTCAGTTTGATCCGATTAATCTTCACAATTTTTCATTTCCAGAGACCCCAGAAGACACCCCGCAGATATAATAATTACACTCGAGTAACACTTGAACGATACATTAACGTTGACTCGCACGGAGATTTGTCGGTGCCAAAGTATCCTTTTCGCAGAATCGCTTCAGGACCGCACTGCCGTTCTCGACCAGGATCAAAGGTAGAGAAATTCAAGCGGCGGGTAATCAATATCAGTAAGAAGGTATCGGCGCGCTTATTATGGTAGTATCGAAGTATCGCCCCTAGATGCACCCCGCGATCTCGCCAGCGGCGAGTGGCATCGATCGCATTTTACGCACACCACGGACGGAACAGGAGAGGCGAGAGAGAAAGAGAGAGGGAGGGAGAGAGGGGGGAGAGAGAGAGAGAGAGAGAGAGAGAGAGAGAGAGAGAGAAAGAGAGAGAGAGAGAGAGAAAGCGGCGGCGTCCGTACGTACGCCGTACGGAAGCAAATGCGGCTCGCGTCGGGCACGATCGAGGACAGGCGGGAAAAAGTGTGGAAAGAGCGAGTTTTCCCGCCGTGCGAATTTATCACGCGACAGTGAACGGCCGCACAAAGCCGGCGATACGCCGTGCGACAAACAAATCCGCCGT